AAGGGAAAATGCAAACAGAAAGAAAGATGGCCTAGTGACTAATCAGTAACAAGGATGAGTTGTCCTGTCTGAAACACTGGCTTTAGGAAGTGACTTGAGGGTACCCCAGCTCAGTCTTGAGCCACTTTGTTTTGGAAAAGGATTGTCGATAACATTAGGACCTGCCTCTTTAAAAGTGAGAATATTTGCTTTCACCAATTCCCGCACTTTATTTTTCAACGCATAAAACCTTTCTAAATCATAACCGGCAACTCCCTGATGAAATTCACAATGAAGGTCAGATCTGAACCCGGATGGAGGAGGATTTCAAGGAATCAGAGGCCTAGTTGTGGTTAAGCCCTTTAGCACCGTTGCAGGATACAATTTAGTGTATTTCATAGGGATGGGATCAAATTAAGCCCTATTCCATACATAATGATTCTGATTCTGTGCAATATTATGTTGTTGAGGGACCTGAACTGGTTAAGCAATGACCGCAGGTGTAACAACTGCTACTTGTGATTGATCAATGTATTAAGGCCTACGGTGATATTCTCTTCTCTCAGTCAAGACAACATTGGCTTCTACCTCTTTCTTCTTTTGAAAGTTCCCAAAGTTTTTTTGGCACCATTAGAACATTCAGCAGCTTTAGACACTTTACCATTCTTGATTCTTTCTTCTAATCTTTGGCCAATAGTCACCAGGTTTGTGAAGCTGGAGGACACACTACCAATCATCTTCTCTCAAAAGAAAGGGGACAAAGTATCCATGAACAAATCAGTTAGCTCTTTCTCTGCCATAGGTGGTTCAACTTGAGATGTCAATTCTGTCCATCGTTGAGCATATTCTTTGAAAGATTCTTTCTCATTCTGAGACATATTTTGCGGTTGGTGATGATTAGGTGCCATGTCAAGGTTGTATTTTTATTTCTTTATGAAAGCATCAACAAGATCTTGGAATAATTGGATACGACCTTTCTCAAGTCCCATATACCATTTTAATGAAGCTTCACTCAGACAATCTTGGAAATAATGGATAAGCAACTTGTCATTCTTTGTGTAAGCAGATATCTTTCGAAAGTACATCACCAAATGACTTCTTGGACAAGTGTGCCCCCGGTATTTCTCAAACTCGAGATTCTTGAACTTTGTAGGCATAACCAGATCAGAAACAAGGCACATGTTGTTAGCATCCATACAGAATAACTCATTTCCCTCCATAGCTCTAAGTCTCTTCTCTAAAGTCAGATATTGTTCTTTGAACTCTTCAAACTCACCAAGGTCCCCCTGACTCATACTTCAAGGACTGGCAGCATAGTATTCAAAGAGAGAGTTCCCAAAAGTAGCTTCTGCAGCAGGTTGATGAGAAGCAGTATGAATGATTGGCTGAGGTTTAGTGAAACATAGAGCTTGAAAAATTGGTCGGGAAGACTGGCCAACCATTGAAGTAATTACAACAGGCAGAGAGTAGTCATGAGGCATCCCAAACTCTATCCATGTATGCTGGATAGGTTGAGTGTCAACAGTAGCAGTTGGGATTTCAGATATCACAGTCCTTTGAGGTGGCTCTCCTCTGGAAATCAGGACTTGCATCATCTCAGTAAGTTTGGCCATGCCTGACTTAAACTCATCTATTTCCATTTTGACTTCTATGTTATGTTGTTCTTGATTTTCCATTCTCAATCCAACAACAACTCTAGTCCCGTAGTTGTGTTGAGGAATCAACTTGATGGTAGACGACTAACTGGAAGAAAGAAGCAACTGGGAATAAGATCCTGAACAACCTGGATGTATGCAAGATGATGCAAAGCATGCAAATGATATGCAATGTTATGTAATATACTGCACAGTAACATGATTACAAGTTTAGAGTCACGAGCCTGGAGTCAAATGTACAACCCATAAGGTATGGACTAACGGTTATCACCTGCCGAACAAGGTTCTAAGAGGTTCCCAGAGTCTACATCATTCCTTCGGATATTACCAACGTCCCGATTAACTCGGTAATTACTTTGTCATAGCTTCTGCACTACACCTAAAATGCCTAGTTGGGTTAAGGGTTCTACGGTCCTCATCTTTAGCAGGCTCCCAGGTCAAAAGCAACACGTCTTCCCGATTACTCGGTAAACGACATTACAGTCATAGGGGCCTCCACTAAGTGGGGGATCTCATGTCTCCATTTTTGGGATTACTCCCTCAAAGTTAACATGACTATACCGCCCGTCCTATCTTAAGTTTTCCCAAAGTCCGGGTAGAGGACTTATAAGAAATGACCAAGCCCCTGAAAACTAGGAAAATCCAGACAAACATATATACAACATAATGGGAAGTAATAAACAGCAAGTAAAATAATATAGAAACACTCATAGAAAAGAAACAACAAATCTAGGATTGACCCACGTAGGAATGGACCAACAATAGGTCAATCTGTCCCCAGTGAAGTCGCCAATTTTTGTCGCACAGTCGTCGGTAAAGACGACAAAGGTGAACGAGACGCGACAGTAATGATAGGAAAAAAAGATGTAGCGGTAAATATTTAAGATTTAAGACATCAATTGACTTATCTCAACACAATGAATTCGCCACCGTACTTTATTGTTTCCAAAGGGAAATAGGAAAAAAGCGAACAAAACCCTCAATGAAATAAAAGATCAGAGATCGAGGTACGGGGATCAGTTATGCAAAGGGAAGGTGTTAGCACCCTAAGCATCTACGGTACTCCACAGGATCCACTTTGTTTGGTTTCTTTTAAAAGGAGTGTTATGTAAAGGTTTACTTGCTAAAGCAAAATAATGAATGAGTATTTGTAAACAAAAGAAAATGTTTTTTATTATTTTTGTTGCTCGCCTTGGTTTGTAAGACTTAGTGCCTACGTACTCCCTCATGCAATAGAAAAGTCAGAGCATCGTAGTTCGGCTAGAAAGACTTGTTTGTTGATTGATTTTAAACAAAGAGACAAGTCGTCATTGTTAGGAGAAAAATATCGACTAACGCCCACAAGGTGTGAGAAAGATGTACCCCGCATCAGCAAGAGTGAGGGTTTGAGAACGCCTCTAGCACTCAAGTGGAAAAGTCGACTATTAATGAATCATGTCTCATCTTGAAAAAAGTTTTGAAGGGTAAAAGTTTTCGAGCGCACAAAAAAGGTTGAATGAGTTGAATTATTTTTGTTAATTTTGAAAGATGTCAAAGTATGATTAAATGAATTGAAGTTTGTTTAAAGAAATAAGTTTTAAAAGAAAAGGCACTCGACAAAAGTATAGGTTTTTTATGAAAGCGATTCGAATTTATAAACATTGAAGATTTTGAAAAAGATGAGAAGATTTTGAAAATTAAAGAATGGGAGAAAAGAATGTCCTATATACAAGAGGATAAAAGATAAGGTATAGAGAATCTGAGCGAATAAGAAACCAGTACTTGACATGATAAAGTCAATACTGTGTTCCCGTCCCTTTGGATTTAAAGCCACATACATAAAAAATAAGCTAAGAGTATACCAAACCTCAGGTGAAAATGAATCACAAGCCGCCAACATCAAAAAACCAGATGTAAGATAATACTCCAAGCAACGAATAAAGCGTAATGAATTGTAAGCGAGAGGTGAAACACGTGAAAATAAATCAAGGATAAAGGAACCGTGGATTAAGCTCACAGTATCGAATAAGATTCCTTGCATCACATGAAATATACATACAAAACTAACAACACGGGAAAACTTATATGCGTCTTTGCGATTTTTCAGAAGTTAATTTGAATAAAATTAAAAATTGCAACGTAATGAAAATAATATTTACATAAACTAAATTTATTTACAAATGAATAAAATATTCAGTCAAAAATATTATGTACAAGTATATATTTACAGTACCAAATATTAAATCAAAGTAGTGAAATACAATAAAGAGGTAAAGGGGGAAGTGTAGGAATTATGGATGTGTTATGTGAGAATGGATACTTGAAACGATTTTCGGAAACCTTCATAGTAACAAACGCGTTGGTAGCATAAGCTCTATAAAAATAAAATGAACGAAATTGAAACAATGAGAATCTATGTTAGAAATCACAAAATAAAGAATTAAAAAGAAATTGTATGAATGCACATGAATATTTACACAATTAAAAATCAAGAATTCGTGATATTATTCTATGTAAACACCAAAATCAGCACTGCATAGATGTATTCCATCAAGTAAACTCAAGAGAAAATGCTATTTCAAGCCACAACGGAAAACAAGAATCAACAATTCACATTGCAACATGAAAAATTGAATTCAAAGTAGACTTAAAACCTTCAAATCAAATCCAGACAGCAACTAAGAACTTCATGGACTTAAAGTCTCAAAACAAACTCAAGACACATTTCAATTTATTAGAAACCGGAAACAAAAAGCATACGACTATGTTGCAATTAAAATTGACCTTAAGCATGAACCAAGTTGGAATTAAGTCACAATCGATCAAATTGGAAAAAACCGGGAAGCAACTATGCATTAAACTATTATGTCCCAAAATTCCAATTCAAACATGGTTTGCAACAAAAGTAGACAGCAAAGTAATACCAACCGAAACACCTATCAAAATTAAAACCAATTTTTCAACAAAATTCAACAAAGTCTCCTTCCTATCGAATCAAACAAAATGATGTAACATGATAATCGAAATCGACAAAGTATTAAAGCGATACAACCACGAAAAATGCAAGTTAAACAAAATTTTAGCATAATAATGAAACCAAAGAAATATTGAGAATTATTTTTCACAACTTATCACAGCACAACCAATTGAAATTGAAAGTTACCGAATGTCGAAGCATAACAGTTACAAGCAAAATAAATTGAAAGTTACCGAATGTCGAAGCTGTTGACAGTGGGTGTGAGCGGAGAGCAATTAGCATGGCAGGTTGTGCTGATTGTGGAGAATCAGGCATAGGTTTGGTTGTTGTGATGAAATTGGATGTTTGATGCTGTTTGGGTAGAAGAGAGGGGTTAACGATGGTGTTTGATTGAGAGAGGAAGACCGGTGATGAAGATGAGAATGGTGGATCGCTGGGTTACGATTTCGAATAGAGGGAGTTTGGATGAAGGTTGGGTATGCGGATGTGAGCGGAAATTGGGATGGTGGTGGTGGTTGAAGATGTTGTGCATTGAGGAAGTAGCAGATTGCGAGGAATTGAAGGGGATGAATTGGAGGAGTGGATTGCTAGTTGTGGATACGGCTTGATAGTGGGTTACGGTTGTTGTTTGTGTTGAAGATGAAAGGGGAGTTGATGGGGGTTGTAATTGAAGGCGGACGTTGGGCGAAGGGTGGCGTTTGGCGATGTGAGCGGAGATGGTTGGATAGCGTTGAAATTGAATATGGGGTTACTGTTTTGGGTGATGATGACGGATGAAGGAGAACGGGGCTGATGTGGTGGAGATTGGTGAGAAAGAGAGGTGGATGTTGCAGAAATTGGTGGAGGTTGCTTGAAGAAGAGGAAATAGAAGACGGATAATTGATGGAGGAAGGTGGTTGTTAGTGGAGGGAATTACTTTGGAACAAAGAAAAAATGGCTTGTTAACTGTGTGAAAAGAGAGGAAGTAATTGGTTTACTGTTAGTTGTTTTTGTGTTGTGATTTACAAAGAAAGTTGAGACTCTTTAAATAGAGAAAATGAAGAGGGAAAAATGATTTGATTTGCAATTCTGTTTGAAAACTTATCGATCCGTAATTCCTGCTAACAACCAATGAGAGTCAAACATAGTGTAATCATTATATTTTTGTGGCCAAAAAGCCCCTTAAATGATAAAATAACTAAAAAACCTGAAATTATTAAAATTAACTAAATTTAAAGTGATTTTTTTGAATTTTTTATGAATAAAAAATAAAGACTTAAAATGACTAAAAACGATAAAAAACGGACGAAAATTCATCCGAAAAAATGAAATGAACACATTAAAATAAACTACATGTCACAAAGATTAAAGAAAAAATATTCAAAAAGTCAAAATTGAAATAAAATGAGAATAAAAATATCAGGCTAAACAGACGTTTACGATTAAAAACGAGACTTCAAAATGTACCGAAAAATAAAGCGAGCATACCGTCATGATCTACGTGAAACGCAGATTCATAAAATGATCGGTAAAAGGTAAAAACTTGAAATATTTTTCTCGCTATATTTCTTTGCAGTTTCAAATTGCTTTTAACAGTCTGTCTGTAAGACCAAAATATTTTTATTATCGATATATAAACAACTTGGAGCAATGAAAGAAATTAGTAAAGAGATAAAAATGCATGAAGTGAAATGTCAGGTATTTTTCCACTACAGAATGATGCAAATGTCGATTTAAACTGACTTTTTGTCAACTTAAACACGATTAAATGATGCAAATGTGATGAACGAAGCTATTTATTAATGATTGTTACCAAATGACAAAATATGATATGAAAGTGCGACTGAAAAAATTAGGGGCGAAATTTAGGGTAAAACAATCACGTTATAAGATACTAATATATTACTTCATTAGCATAATAATAATAATAATAATAATAATAATAATAATAATAATAATAATAATAATAATAATAATAATAATAATAATAATAATAATAATAATAATAATAATAATAAGAAGAAGAAGAAGAAGAATGATTTAATATTATTAGTATAATTTTGTAGAAGTTTTGTAATTAGGAATAATCATTTAGATAATTAAGTAACCAGAAATAGTCGTAATAGTCTGAATAATTACGCGATTTATTTTTAGGAAATTTTGGTTCACTCGTTGTATTGTGTTCTTTGTTGAAAAATGTGAATTAGCAGGTGATGTTATTGCCTCTATTTATGGGCAAAATATTAAGTTGTAGGCTTATGGCCAATGTTGGTTTGTTGTTGCGTTGCTATGGAATTTTGTTGTTGATATCCTAACATTCATATTGGGTCGCATACATAGCATATCAAGTTGGAGCTGATGCTCGGTAAGTTGTCCTTGATTAGAAAATTAAGTTGAAGGCTTATGACTTGTTGATGCCTCTATTAATTGGTAGATTTCAAATTGGGAGTTTTACTCCATTGGTACCACATGCATGTGCATTGTAACGATACATATTCCAAGTTACATATTTAACATGTTGTGTTGTTGATTTGTGATGATTTATGTTGGTTGAAAGTTATGAAGTGGTGATTTTATAAAATTTGATCTAATAAATTATTTATCATACACTCAATTATATGATTCGATATATCACCTCTTCTGTTTGAATGTTGCCCTCTGTTGGTAACGTGCATGTGATCAAGAAGGATAGTTGTTACCTTCGTTAGTTCGAGTCGATGTTGTCACTCTGATACGTAGCACCCAGGGGATGAACGCATGTTTTATTTATTGTTGGTTTTCATTATGTTGCTGAATATTTAAGTTGTTTTCATTAAAGACTTGTTGTCTTAAAGCCGTTTTGAGCTGGACAAGATGTTATGGTGTTTTTAGTTGAATTTGTGAATCCACTAAGTAGCAACGAAAGTTGTTTTATTTTTAAAGACTAAACATGTTATTATCGGTTCATCCCAATTTTATGTGTTATATATCTGAATTATAGGTGATTGAATGTCGTTGTTTCCAAGTTGAAAGTGTAGCATTCCATTTGTTTGTTGGAAATTTTGCAGCTCTAATTTTATATAATTTGTTGGGTAGAAATGGGGTGTTACATTAGTGGTATCAGAGCAGGTCGGTTCATCTTAACAAGTTGTCGAGTCGTAGTTTTGTCTAACAATCGAGTATTTTTAACTTGATTTCTAATAGTTTTTATGTTGTAGTGATCAGTTGAGATGGCTCGAAGGAATGATGCTTTGCTTGCTTCTGCTTTGGAAGCAATGACGCATGCTATGAAGAATCAGCCGAACGCTGACAGGAATGCTGGATCTCGTAGCTTGGTGACCTTCCAAAGGGAGAATCCGCCTCCCTTCAAGGGTAAGTATGATCCTGAAGGGGCGTTGGATTGGTTGAAAGAGATTGTGAGGTGCACTCCAGCGCGGAAGGTTCAATATGGTAATTGTAATATGGTGGGAGAAGTGACTTGAGGTTTTGCGTTTTATCGCAAATGTTGCGGATAGCAAGACTCGCCACCGACTTTTCTTTTATCCAATAAAGGAAAGGGTAAAAAGAATAAGAAAGACCTTTTGATAATTTTATGAGTAAGGGGGTAGGTTATAAAAAGGGAAGGTGTTAGCACCCTTTTCATTCATAGTTATCTACGTGCTCTTAATTGCTAGCTCAATTTGAAATACTTTGTGTTTGTGTATGTTTGAAAATATTTTGAAAATGCCTAAGTGCCGAAATTTTGTAATAATTCTCGTATCAGTGAGAATGTATACAAATGTTTGGTTTCAAAAGATATTTTGGAAAAAATGTTGTTTTGTGAAAAGATGTTTGAAAATGCCAATTCAAGGCAATTTGCTTTATAATAACCCTTCTATCAGTCCTCAAGAGTGTTTTACAAAGCGTTTTGAAAGTAGTTGTTTTGAAAGTGTAAGGTGTGAAAATTTGTTTTAGTTTGTGAGCCAGCGATTACAAGCGATCTACCTACTCAAAAAGTCTTTGTTCTTTTCCTCCTCCTTTAGATAGTTCTATCCTACCATTAGTTAGTAGGAAGCCCTATTATTGGATGTGAGGGACATGCGTGGGTCATCGTACAATCATACTAGGCAACTTGTAAGACGCTTTAGCAATTCTCGAAAGGGACTAAGATCTTTTCCCGAAGGCAACATCGAAGGGTCATCGAGGGACTATAATCTTTTAACCAAGGGTCTTTGCTAAAGCATCTCACGTTCGAGGGACATGACTGTTTAAATCCGAGGAAACAAGTGAGGGTCACCCTAGAGGTGCGTGTGTGCGGAGTGTTTTGATTTCAAGTATTTATCTTTGAGAATAGGTTTTCTAATGATTGATTTTAGTTCTTTCCATTCAAACCCTAATTACTAACAGTAATAGGAAAAAGTAAATTGCGGAAATTAAAGGTCCTACGCTATTACAACGCTTCGGGGATGGGGGTACAATTTTATGAATGGGGGAGGAAAGCAATAAAACCTAATTCTCTATTACAAAGTTTTGACAGTTACATAAATGTATTAATGTGAAAAAATAAATAAATGTGCGGAGATAGAAAGGGGAAATGTGTAAAAACCCTAAAAATTCTAAGTATTTTAAGAAATTTTTTATTTGTTTCTTTATTTAGAAAATATTTAAAATGTGAAGTAAAAAGTTAGACCCAATTCTAATTATTTAAAATAAAATAAGATGTAATTAAATTAATTAATTTTATTTATGAAAATTAAATTAATCAATTAAAATTTAAAAGTATTTAGAAAATATTTTTGTATTTGTTAAAAAAAATGAAGTATAAAAAACCTAGTCTTAATAAAATAAAATCAAGATGGTTAAAATAAAATAATTTTTATTTGTCAAAAATTAAATTAATTGATTAAAAAAGACTAAATGTAATTTTTGTCACTTTTTATGATTTATTTAATTTAATAAAAATGATTTAGAAAGAAGAAAATGGTAATTAAAATATAAATAAAAAGAAATAAAATGGGCATGAACTACAAAATAAAAAAAATGGGGTGTTAGAAAGAAAAAACAAAAAAAACCAAAAGGGAGGCCCAAACGCTTTGTTTGGATCCAGTGAGGTTGACCCTTGATAGTTCATGGTGGAAAGGCACGCTTGAAGCATTGGATCTGCCTGCATGATAATCTGATGGTTGTAGCATGAGGTGTATGATTAGCGCGTGTGACTTACATGTACCTGATTAACAAATAAAACTTTGAAAAATAAAATTCTAGAGGCAGGGATCAACCCATTCCTTGGCACACTAACGCTCTACACGCACACACGCTTGCCACTAGGGTGGCTGTTTCATCCAGTTATGAAACAGCCACCAATAAATATATTATAAACTCATCCCTGGAAATTAGAATATGACTTCATCTTCTTCCTCGCGCCAGAACAACAACACCAACATTTTTTATTTTCAAACTCTTCCATTTCTGAACCATTTTGAATAATGTAAACATCAAAGTTTTTCCAAATTTCACCATGAATTCAACCATGCCATTAACTTAAGCTAAAACTCAAAGATTAAAGTGAATTTTTGTTGGTACCAAACTAAACCCTAATCTTTTACAAATTTCAAATCCAAAATTCTCATCACACGGTCAATATAAATGAAAACTAAGGACATGGTTAGCTTCAGGGCATTGATATTTACATTTTTTCTTTAGAAAATAAATGCAAATGATTCTTGTACAAAGATTTCAAAGTTTAGAAAACTTACCACAAGAGTGAGAATCGAGTTTGAAGTTAGAGAACTTCTGGAGATGTTAGGATGATCTGGATAGCTTCACTGAACTCCCTGGAA